TTTGCTCAGATATTGAGTATACACTCTTATGTGTATTAATGTATAATTTCCCTTTATCTAATAATATTTAAACTGCTTTTGATACTTTATATTAAAGATACTACATAAAAATAAGAGAAAATGATTAAGCATAAAGAAGTTAATAAAGAGATTAAAAAGACAATGCTATGAAAAGATGAGATCTCACTTCATTGCAAAATATTAAATCTTTACCTTTATCAAGGTAAAAAAATAAATGTATATATTATAATTCATGCACACATTACATTTCTTAAAAAATAAAAATTAAGAATGACATCTATTTGATTCTAATTCTGTCTGGTTTAGAAATTTTACATTAGGTATTTTACTTTAAAAAAAAAACTGAGAGAAATGTTCCTTTGGCAATTCTGATTGAACTAAGATTGGGTGGCTTTCTTCGAAATGCTTAACATAAACTTTCTTTCCCTTAAAAACAGTTTTAGGTTTTCTCAACTATATTGTAATCTTATAGATTCATAACAATCTTAAACTTATGACATTCTAACAATTTTTAAATGTATCATCTAAGTTAAAATACTGAGGAAGTAGAAACCTTCATTTGATATTAAATAATTTTGCTTTATAAATTCTCATATATGAAAATTACTGTCTATAAATGTTGGGCGTAGGCCGGTATGAACTTGAAGGAGCTCAGGAAATTTCACCCCAAAATATGACTCCCTGGTATAAAGAATATTTTTAATTAAAGGGCCTTTGATATAAAAAGGCATTGGCTCCTAATAGGTGCAGTGTGCACCATCTGGGGGATGGACACACTTGAAGCTCTGACTTGGGTGGGGCAAAGGCAATATATGTAACCTAAACATTTGTACCCCCATAAGATGCTGAAATTAAAAAAAAATGTTTTAAAAAGGCATTAGAAGGGGCTTTCCCTCTACCTGCATAGTCAGAAAAAGGACCCATCTAAAAAAACTATTTCCTCTCACCTCCCTGTTATCTCAATATATTGTAGGAAAGAAAGATCAAGAATGGAAGCAGACCTGCCCTAATCATTTTAAATGTAATACCTGTCTCTCAAGTTAATTTACAAGTCAATCTGTTTCCCCTAATCCCTCCATTCTCCCAAGTATCTATTCATCCACTCTAGCAATCATTTATTGCTCCTAAACAGAATTACCTATATTTTTCATCTTCCCCTCCCCTCTAAAAGGCAGGTATAAAAATACCTGGATCCCACTGGGATACTACGTACATCACTCTGTGATTCTCCCCATGTGCGTGGTAAATAAACCTCTTCCTCTCATTAATCTGTCTTAATTGTGAGTTGATCTTTCAGCAAACTTTCAGGGGAAAGGGGAAGTTTCCCCTCACCCCCACAAAATGAGTATTTACATTGTAGAATTATAAAATGAAGGCAAAAAGTTCATCTTTTTCTCATAAAAGTACACAAATATATATTTAAGAATCCGAAAATAAAATCAAGTATCTGTAACGGGTGGACTTTCTAACCTAGTAAATTCACCCTAAATGTGTGAGATTTCAGTATTATACTTCTTTGTTTAATAATGCTGCTAATGGAAAGTCTTATATACACTTGTACATATATTTGTACAAACAAATATACCTAAGCACTATAGCACCATCTTTTCTTCCCTTCCTGAATATTGAAATTATTGCAGTTTAAAAAACAGGAAGATCAACAGCAACAAAAAATTGAATGCAAAAAATTGCCTTTTAGGTTGTGATCATTGAAAATCAGGATATATATAAATAATCAGGACTCTGACTTATTCACCACTCTATCCATATAAGGCAACAGGTTCCATTTCCTACCAAGAATAGGAGTGGGTGCTCACTTTAGCAATAATTCCAAACCAAGTGCAGCAGCAACATTTTTAGTTTGCTTAACTTCCCCACTCCCACCTTTTAACAGCCAAGTAACTACCTCCTTTAAAAAAATACTGCTGAGTGGGTGCATAAACCAGTGCTATTTGCCAACTGTAGAGGGTTCCCACAAAGCTTGTGGGTATGTGTAAATTAATTCCATCATCATTTTTTCTATAACTAAGAAGAGAGGAGGAAAATAGACTCCCTTGTATTTACTGTAGCCTGGCAATAATAGTATATGTGTGACATATTTTTACCTTTGAAATGCAGAAGTATTTTAAAAGTTGGCCAGTACTTTATTGAAGTTGACTGATGACTGATGGAAGGTTATAATATACTCTGCCTCATGCAGGCTCTAAGGAAACCTCTAGCTGAAAAGTATATGGGAAATTCCTCTCTAACAAGACAAATCTCTTAGGCAAAGCTATAAATCCAACATGTGAATTCTAAAGTTTCATGTAACTTTTATGGTAGAAATGATGCAGAATTTCGAATAAAGAAGAGAATCTTAATATTGATTCACTTAAATATTTTCAGAGAAGTATGTCTGTGAATTCTTTATATATACATATATAAACATATATACACAAATATATAGTTTTATATTGTTCACTACTTTGCTTTATTCTTACATTCTGTTTCTCTCTCTCTCTCTCTCCTCCTCTCTCTCTCTCCATGATTCTATTCTAGTAACACTTTTTAAATCACTAGAGCCACTCTTAGGTTTACTTAAGTTTCAGTTTACCTCTCTTAAGCAATCATCAGAAAGGCTGTTAAAATTTAAGATATGATACTATACTGTGAGTTGAGGTTTGGGGTCCAGTCACAGTTCTGTTTTTTACTTTTGTGACATTGAAGAAGTCACTCATCTTTTTGAATCTCAGTTTTCTTAATTGGAAAATAGAAGGATTGAATCAAAGGATCTCTAAAATTCCCTTCCCCTATTATTCTCTAAAATGTTTAAGATATTGCTGCAAAACTTTGCCATGGCCCTGTATACCTGTAACATATAGTAGGGTGTACAGGAAAATGTATAGTGTTTGGTTTATCTGGCTGGCTCCAGGAAAATAACTACAATAAACACACATCTTTGAGGCTGTCCAATTTTTAATCATTGAAACAGCTGGACTAATTTTAATTTAATAGCACCTATAAGGAAAAAAGTCTTCCCAAACTAAGTAGGTAAACAATATGTGCAGTAAAAAGACATAAACAAGAAGACAGGCTGCTACTAACACCATCAAATACCTTTAGAAATAATTTTCATGTGGAAGTTACAATTTTCTGTGTTTAAAGCAAGTCTCTTTGTGGGAATTTTTTGATAACAAATTCAATTTCTTTAATAGACATGGGTTATGCAGATTTTTGAATGCTATCTTTTTTCAAAAAATTTGACTACTTCCTTATAGTTGAATATAATTGGCATGAAGTTATTCACATATTCTTTTATTATTTTAATATCTATGGTATATAATAGTAATGTTCTTTTTTATTACTGATATTGATAATTTGTGTTCTATCTCTTATGTAAATCAGTCTTGCTAAGAGCTTATACATTTGATTACTCCTTTCAAAGAGCTAACTTTTGGCTTTGTTAATTTGCTTTATTGTTTCTCTATTTTCTATTTCATTGTTTCTGTTCTTACATTTATAATGCAGTTACATGTGCACTTAAAATGATGTGTGTTCTATGGTTATTAGATGGAGTCTTCTATAATTCAATTAGGTCAAATTAATTGACAGTTTGTTCAAATGTTCTATATCTAGAATTTTCATTTGATTCTTTTTTTTTATAGCTTCTATTTCTACACTAGGGGACCCCTGTCATTATGAACATTTTTAAGTTCTTGAACATTTATAATAGCTACTTTAAAGCCCTCGTCTGTTAATTCCATCATACAGTATATCTTTTTCTTTTGATGCAACCAGCTGAACCAACTAAAAGCTATGCAAGTTGTTGCTTAGGCTGAACTTCTTAGAGTCTCTTCTACACATATAAAGTTCAGGGGTCAGCCAAGAATTTGAAAGGAATTTGTATGCAGACTTGGGTCTCCTTCCTCTATGGCTTTCTTCTTTGTAAGACTCCCTAATCAGTTTCCAGTCATTCTGGTAGTCCAAAACTGTCTGTATCCTGACACCTCACACCAAAAACACTGAGGTTTTACTGCCTAAGGCCTAGCTATCTCACACTGCATGATCTGAGAAAAGCTAGGTAAGTGGTGATCCCATTGCAGTTCCTTTCTTTAAAGGATCAAATAAATTCCCTCCAGTTTCTGTTTGCATGCCATCACTCTCCAGTGCCTTTAAATATTTGTTTTATATTTTTCCAGTTTATCATCACTTATTATTAATAAATGAATGTATTCCTAGTGAATAAGAAACCAAAAGCATGAAACCTGCCCTTATGAAAACTTCATTAACTTTTCACAATCCTTTCTTTCCTTCTCACTCACCAATTTAACTCACAAAATCAGTGGCCTTTCAAAAATATCAACAAATTTCATAAATAAAGTAGCAAAGCAATCTAAGAATCCCTAGTACAGTCATTGAAAGGCATGCTTTACCATAGTGAATTGTGGCACATAGTTTCTAATAAAAAACAGCTGAAACATGTACAGTATTTACGCTGCTTTCTCCTAGATACTACAAAGTACAGTTTAGCTCAGTCTACTAATTTATTACTAAAATAATGGGGGAGGGAGGATGTGACTATTCTTGATGAGTCAAATTAAGATTCCACCATCTCAGTGAGATAGTAAAAGCTCAGGAATAAGGGTTGAAAATAAATAACCTCAAACCAATGATAGGGTTGGGCCCAGTGAGCTGAACGATATCCTTGGCAATCATAACCCACCCCCCCCATACAGGCACTGTGCTAGTATCTGCCATATTCACAAGACAAGTGTGTCCATTAAGGGGCTGGGAAATCACATTTGATAACTTATTAAATAAAAGCCAAAGTGAAAATAAAAAAAAATTAAATGTCAACATTGAGAAAGATATATTAAAAACTTGAGCTTTCAACAACCTATACTTCTTTAAACCTAGATATTAAAGTCAGCAATTACACTGATAACATTAAAAACAAGTGAGTTCATTTATACCTTTCTTCTATCATATAAAAGATATACCTGGGTTTTGGCTCTGGTTTTGGCTCGATAGGACGTTGCTTTTTTTTAATAAAGGTTTTCTAGAATAAGAAAAAGAAGAGTTGACATAAGTAGGAAAACAACTTTCTTACCTCTAATAATTAATTCCACTGATATTTTTATATTATCACAGGGAGAAAGAACCACTCCATTATAATATATATTATAAATCTAAACATTCATATAAATTTGTAAGTATACTCAGAGGAATATAATTGTTAAACCTTCTTCAGTACATTTTAACACCCAGGAATGCAATTCTTACTAATTATTTCTGTGAACAAATATACGTACAAATCAATTTTGGATGAGAATTTTATTTATTTATATTTATGCTGGCACCTTGATCTTGGACTTCCAGCCCCCAGAATTATGAGAAAATAAATTTCTGTTGTTTAAGCCACCTCGTCCGTGTGACAGCCCTAGCCAACTAATATATAAAATAACAAAGAAGACAGAGTAGTGCTAACATTCACGATGTTTTGCTTCTATAAGAGAAACAAAATTATTTTCAGTAAAAACTTTCTTTCATATGTCCTTCAAAAGAATGTTGGCATAATATATCAAGCTTTGATAGTATCACTTCCAACAATTACAAAATAGTATTTAATATGATTTTTTCTCGTATAATCCTTTGATATTTTTCAATGATAAAAGGAACAACTCAGGAAGATAATTCTATGAGACCTCAGAATAACTGCACCATTCCTTCTCTCTGTGGTCAGTGTGATCCAAAGTTAAAATTTTACGCAGAGGCATTAATAAATTGGATATTCACCTTATAATCTTCCATGACTATTTTTTTTGGACAAAATAGTTTTTGAAAAAAATGGAGATGAGGAATTTGAAGTAATCTTGACAAATGAGTAAAAGATTATGGGATTTTTGGTGCCTCCTTCAGACTCTATAGGAAGTCAGTAACAGAAAGCTTATTAGCTATTCATATATGGTATGCTCATGATACCACAAAGAAAATGCTTATTTTAGTTTTGAATTTTAAGTTTCAAATGTATATTTGACAACTGAGGCCAAAAATTTCTTTCATATGAACTCCCAGGAGATATAAAGGGTCAATGTAAGTTGAAAGGTGGAAGAAAGTTGTGTTTGTACTGTAAAAATACTCAGTATTAAGATATAGAGTGATTGTTTTAAATATTTTAAACAAATCACAAATCTCTCCTATGGAGTTAAGCTTCCTTCTGTCTTATACTTCTCCCTCAGATGCAATTTGTATAGGTTAATTTTATTTCATGACAATTCATTACTTAAGATCTAAAATTAAATTTAGCTCTACAGTTATGTTAGAACACAATAATCCTGAAAATTGTTTTGCATCATCTCTCAACATTTGTTACTTTTAGAATTCCCTGATCATGTTTTCTTTTTCAATGTAAACAATCACCCTCAAGAATAATACTGTATTTTTTAAAATTTATGTACAATAGGTAGGTAATAATGAAGCATGAAGCAGGACCTATACTTTAAGTGTTGCCCTCAAGATGTTCCATGACATAGTCATGGCTACAAAAACACCAATGGTTCAAAAATTGTTTTTTAATCTTATATTCCATACTTTTGTACAAAACAATGTGCTTGGCTTGGGACACACTGTCCTTCTGTGCCACTACTATTTACACTTGACAGCTTCATTTTTTTTTTCAACTGCTTGTTTCTTGGCCAGACTAACTGAATTGGCACATTCTCCATAATGAAGGGTGTCAAATATGAAGGCTGCTAAGTAAAACAATTTCAGACAAACATTAGTGAGGATTTCCCTTCTTCAGATGTTCTCTGTGATTTTTACCATTTACTCTCTTGCAACTTCATTGCCTTTACAATCTTCATTTATGCTTCCTATCAGACATAATTAGAAACTGGTTTTTCTGGTGTCCTTTAGCAAAGTCAGTATCAGTCTTTAGTTTACGGGGTCTGTTTTTTACCTTAATCTTCTACATATTTATATGATAAAGTCTCAAGTCCATTCTGCCTTGATACATCAAATCCATCATGTCTTATAATTTTTCCTCTTTCTATATATCAGTTAATGGATTTGGGGTCTCAATTCACATTACCTGCAATGCCCTGCAATCCATCCCTCCAACAAAAAGCCCAAAATTTATAATAAAGTGGTTCTAAGTTAGTAGTGCCCTAAAGCACCTGGTAAAGGCAAAAATCAATCATTTTTAGAACAAAACGTTTAAACCCAGGCTTCAAAGAATTCCCACAACAAAATACCAGGAAAAATGAACTCAAAATCAGAAAAGTCATTAAACATGAGAAAATAAGCAATTAAGGAATCAGAAGAAACAAACTACATATTCAGAACCCCAAAGACTGCATATACTATAATTATCATGCACAGAATATAAAATAAGAATAAACTTCCATCTCTATATATTTAGAGAAATATATTGATGAAACCAAAACATTACCAAAACTGACCCAGCAGATATGGAAAATAACAAGTAGACATTCTGAAAATTTAAAATATAATAATTGAAATTGAAAACTCAATGAATAGAAAAACAAAAGAATAGACATAGATTAAAAAAGAGAGAGAGAGAACTGATAATCTAGAAAATAAACTAGGGGAAAAAAAGACCCAGGATGCAGCAATGAGAAAGAAAGAGATGGCAAATACAAAAAAGAGGAAAAAGGACAAGGACAATAACTGAATGAAAGACTCACATATGTCTACCTATTATGAAGTTTTAATTAGACTTTTATGAAGGAATAATGGAAGAGAGATGGTATTTGAAGAGATAATGGAAGAATTTTGTATTTTCTTGTTTTCAGAATTGCTGAAAGACACTGATTTTCATATTTAAGAAGCCCAACAAAAACTGAGCGAATCAATAAAAACAAAACAACACTTAGACATCTCATTAAAAATAAAAAAAAACAGAACCACAAACAAAAGAAGTCCTTGGAAGCAGAGAGCATAGACAGATTACTTACAAAGGAAAGACAACTGGACAAACATCTGATTTTTCACAGCAACAGGAGTAGCCAAAACACAGAGGAATAATAACTTGTAAACACTTCTGAGAAGGTATGGTTGAGAAGGAAGAAAAAATAAATATGTAACCAGTTGAAGTTTTCTGCCAACTGACCCTTAGTATAGGTACTTCTGAAGGATGTAGTTCAAGAAGGAAAAACATTCTATAGGTCTGTGATGCTAGAAGCAATGGCAAAGTAAAAAATTGGTAAGCATGTAGGTAAATTTAGACAGTGACAAGATGGAACAAAATAATTGTGTCTAATTTATGAGATTAAAAAAGAGAGAGAACTAACTCCAGAAATTAAGGCACTCTGCAATTTCTGTATGGTGGGAAGAAAGTAAAGGTATTTTAAATTAAATGTGTATATTTAAATCTATGTACTAACCATTTCTGAAAAGTAAAAACAAAGATATAAATGCCAAACTAATGGGAAAAAAATGGAACAAGGGAAAATATGTCAATTATAAAAAAAATTATAAGGAGCAAATAGAAAGTACTAAATGGAAAGAATAGAGAGCACCAAATAAAGCAAATAAATGTATCTAAATACATTTTTAAAAGCACAACTGTGTAATTTTCACAAATAAGAAATGGGGTCTCAGAAATATGAAATATTTCTCAGCATTATGGATCATTAAGAAAATGTAAATTAAAATCACAAAGAAAGATAATTTTATACCTGTCAAACTGGCAAATATTAAAACTGACAATATTTATTGTTGCCAAATACATGAAGCAATGGAGAGTCTCATCCACTGCTGCTAAGAGTGGAAAACTGTTTGCTATTTGCTAGTAAAGTTGAACCTATGCCCACTGGTCGCCACAGCCATTCCATGGCTAGAGATGATAGAAATCAGTGGTGAAGTAAGTAAAGGAGCTGCTTATGGCTAAAGGCAATCAATTATTCTGGCAATCAATAATCAATTATTGAGCTCCCACTCTCCAGGCCCTGCCAACCTGCTCCCAAGACCAAAGAGGTAAATATTCTGGCACATACATAACCCATTCTTGATGCAACAGGAAGCAGGTTCATATGATGTTGGGAACACTTGTATAGACAAACTCTTGCAACTATGCTTCAAGAGGCATGTAAAGGAATAGTTATAGCAGAATTCTTCATTATAGAATATAACTATTTTAAAAAGCCAAATATCTCTCAGCAGTGGAAGAGAGAATTAAACTGTAGTTTACTCATTCAATGGAATCCTGCATATTGATGTAAATGTGTGAAATACAGGGTCACGCACCCACATTAATGAAGATTGATGAATCTTGCAAATACATTTGTTGAACAAAAAAGAAAGTGAAGACATTATAATACCATTTACATTAAGTTAAAAGCAAGCAAAACTAAACAAAATACTAATTAGGGATATGTGTATATGTGCTAAAATTATAAGGAAAAGCAAAAGAACCATTAACATAAAATTAAGGAGATGGGTTTTCTCAGGATATAAAGGGAAGGCAAAGACACACAATGTTTTATTTAAGCTTTGTGGGTCCTTGTTTTAGTATTATTCTTTCATATATGTACATATATACATATATACTGTTTTATATGATTGATATATAAAATAGAAATTTTAAAATGATATGGTGAAAATATTCCTTGAGCTTAAGATCAGCATCTTACCCCTTGATAAAGAAAATATTTGGGAATCTATGGGTTTCCAAAATATATTACAACTTCCTAGAAGTTTATGTGGCTCCTGTGGTTTCTGTATGCTTTGAAAACTCTAAGATTGAAGAAGGCCAAGTGATGAAACAGCTGCTTCCAGGTGTGGGCTATTTTATTCTGAAATTTTAAACTGCATGAGTCTATAGATACATGTGACTAATTTTTTTATTAGCTAGAATTAAAACTTTATACCTAAATGATCAGATTGAAGAAATGAGTTTCCATTTTACAATCTGGGGGCATTTTAATGTGCTTGCATTCATACTGACGCTGAAGGACAGTATGCTTAAATGTATAAAAGGTAATTTGGTTTTGAATATATTTCCCCTTTTGGATTTAAGGTAGCCTCCTGGAAAGTTAA